ATTCTTGGACCAGATCATCCAAAAACCCTCACCAGTGTCGGCAACTTGGCTGTAACCCTAAGTTACCAAGGAAGGTACTATGAATCGGAGCAGATGAACCGCCGTGCCTTGGAGGGGTATGAAAGGGTTCTGGGACCACACCACCCCGACACAATAACAAGTACTCGTAACCTAGCTGTGTTTCTGCAGCAGCAAGGAAAGTACGGTAAATCGGTGACTACGAATCAGCATGCCCGGGAGAGACCCCCAAGGAAGTTGGATCGAATGTGGCCTCAATTTCTGAGCCGTATGGTCTATCGTTTTGGAGGACTGCAGCCTTCGGGAAGCAAGACGACCTGACAAGGTGATTCGTCGTATCGGGGGCAATTTGGCGGGGCTATATCAGTGACATGACCGGACCACCGGTTTCTGCTAGTGAGAGACTCCAGAGATCTGCTGGGAATAATAGCTGACTATGGGGAACTATCTAGAATGACGAATTAGTGGCAGGGAATAGAATCTATTCAAATGTTGTTTGTTATGAGCAAGGGGTGCCTCTGTGGGTGGAGGGAGTGTTGAGAATTTTCATCTTTTTGCATTTTGGTGCTAGTTGTTTTTCTCATATTTAAGCGCTATATATAGTCCGGGTTGTATAGAGAATGATTTCGTGTTCCCTCTTACATCAGAAATATCCTGATAGACACCGGGATAACAAGGGACGCACGATGGTTCCGAGGTGGCGAGGTGACATGCAGCAGACAGGTGCAAGAAGGCTCCTAGACCGGATTGTGATCGCACCCCATCAACTTCTCGTAACCTCGCTGTGTTGCTACTGGAAAAAGAAAATATGATGAACTATAAGCTTATCCCCCGCTGTGGTAAAGAGGGGAATGAGAAAGGCTTGGACGAAACCCATCCTGCCATACATATAATTACCCATAAACTTACCCTAGCATTTGAAGACTGGGGAAAGAATTATGGTGTCGAAAGACTACATAGACGGGCTGTGGATTCTAGTAACAAGGTACCTGGTCCAGAGCGGGCTAAGTGCATGTCCTGTACACTCTCAACTTTTATGGTTGCTCTCCCTCGGTTTAAGGTTTTGCGCAGTTTTTTTCTTTTCTCTTTTTCGGTGTTGTCAACAAACCCTAAAGCAGTTCTTAGTTAAGGTCTCTCGGCTACCAATCCCCATCACCCCAATCCCTGGCTATCTGAAGAACCTCCCGCCCTATTGCACTGACGGTACAGTATTTTGGGAAGGGGTGGTAAGAGAAGTACAAGACGTCAAGTGGTTCGGTGATATACTCTATCGGTCAACTATGCCACGCCGGTTGTTGGATGTAGCCCCTCGAGGGGGAAAAAGCAGCACTCGGGAAGCAGGCCGGGGGGGGTAAGAAAAAAGGGTAAATATTAAATGCGATGCTCGAAATCGCAGAATGGCAGTAATTCCAAAACTTCTTGAGTGATGTGGAGTGAACGGCGGGTCTCGTGGTACCGGATTTAGGTCGAAAAGTTTCGTCCGGTGGCTTGTTTACACTAAAGGTACCTAAATTTATTACAGCCCCCCCCCCGACTCAGACAGTGCCAGTCCCTACTGGGATATACCAAGAACCTGTGCTACGTTATCGAGCCCCTAGATACCCTAGATAACCTTACCTCATTCTTAATATCATAACACTGTGGGATTGTGGGCTAAGTTAGAGGTCTGTGGTTACCATGTACCTCTCTCTATGGAACCCCGTGCAGAAACCCAAAGCCATCTTCACACCAGGTGGTCGGATTGTAGTGTTCGTGAACGCAACCTCAACATTGTTTCGCATGGGGCTGAGTGCGAAGTAGTTTTCTAGCGGAGATCACAATCCCGATTACTTTCAACAAGGTGATGCTGGGAGCGTAAACACTGAAATGACAGGGCTTTTAGTTAGGCACATTTGGGAATGAAATCCCACACATCAATCCATAGGTGTCCGTAGGCCACCACCTATATTTGTGTCCCCTTATGGCTCTGACCGGGCTTTCGTAGTACACCCCAAACCTCTCTAGAGATGTCCTAGTCACTCGCTATTAGAAGAACTGCGAACCACACACCCCGGATATCCTTTACAGGTTATGTTGTTTTTTTCGCCAGGAAAATGCGCTTATCTAAAAAGGCTCGCAGGGGAACATGCCCATACACGAAACTCTCTGACTAGGCGATAGTTGAGGGGATCTTTTAAAATTACTTCGCACTCACCCTTATGCAAAAAATTCTTCAGATTATGATCATAAGCTACAACCTGATCACCTACTGTCAAAGTGACTTCATGTATTTGTATGAGGTTCCATGGAAAAGGGTGCGTGGTAACCGCAGACATCTGACTTAACCCACAATCTCAGAGTTTTACGATATTAAGGGTGACGTAAAGTTATACAGGGTATCCGGGGACTCGAGGACATATCATAGCAAAAGTTTTTGGCAGACCCTAGTAAGGGCTAGTACTACCTAAGTGGGGGCAATCCATACTTTCGGCGTAAAGACGCCACCAGACGAAACCTTTCAATCTGAATTTGGTACTATGTAATCACCGTTCACCCTACATCACTCAAGAAGCGCTGTAATCACTGCCAGTCTAAGATTGCGGGAATCCTACTTAATCTTTAGCCTTTTTTCTGACCTTTTTCCTGTTCTCTTCCTGAATAGTTCTCTCTCCTCTTCGGGGGGCTACATTCAACAACAGCTGGGGCCGAGCTGACACATGGAGTATGTTGTCGAGTCACTTGACCGCTTTGTACCTCTTGTCTCACTGCTTCTCCCTATAATACTCTACTATCCAGTGCGATAGTGCGGGAGATTGTTCAGCTAGCGGGGGGTTGGTCGTCCAAAGAGCTTACTTGAGAATAGCTTTAAGATTGATTGACAGCCCTGCATTGTTGAACTACCAGTGTAAGAAATAACAGTAAGACTCTTCATTCCAGCTAGGAATCACCAATTCTCACTCTGTACCCCAGACATTTATTGTCAACCCCAGAGAAGTGACTAGTATACAATTCTGGAAGATATCTAGGAGTTCACGCCCCCGGCATCTGTGGTAATATAAGAGGACCGGGATGCATGGTAATGAGATTCAGCAAATTATAGAGGAGCGCATCCAAGGTCGGAAGGAGCATCAAAAATTCATAGAACGGATTTATAGAGTACCTTGCCCTCTCGGGGTAAGAGTACCTGCCTTGTAGGAGGGCTAGCTCGACGCAGGAACTTTCAGATCGGGCACGCTTCCAGTAAAGTACTTCTGCGCCGGTGCATATCCGATTATATAGCCGTCTAATTCACTCTTCATGGCAGTAAGCCTTGTCATAACTCTAATAGCGCCGGGCAGTGAAAATAACGACTCGGGCCTTAACCGTCCACGAAGTAACAGTCGCTCAAACCGGGCCACATCGAGTTATCGCCCCGTCACCACATTCCACTTGACATTACTCGTCTACGGTTCACCGCATATCCCATTATTTTTTCGGTAAGACTTTCCTTGAGATCCCCTCACCTCCCTTTTGGTAGGGGACAAGCAAACCCCACTGAACCTGGAGTGCACAAGGCGGCGTCTTAATGAAAATCTCCGCCCCCACCGAATTCCTGGGTTTCAAGGTGGGATTTCTTAGTTCGTAACGCCGTCAAATTCCTAATATATCCCGAGGTAATGAGGTGTTGTTCTTACGGGGGTTTAGAGAATCTCCCGAGCCTATTAATAGGCTTTTCCGACTCGAAGATGGTCCCTCTGCTTTCTGGATAGATAGGTTAGGCGCTCGGCCCGCTCCTAACCAGGTACCTTGTTACTGGCATCTACAGCTCGTCTATGAAGCTTTTTGACACCTTAATGCTTTCCCTATTCTTCAAACGCTGGGGTGAGTTTGAAGGTAGTGAGATGTATGGTAGGATAACATGGGGTCCAAGGGTTTTCATATCCCTCTTGTGGGCCGCGAGAAGTGGTTTCTACTCCATCATATCTTCTCTCTCAAGTAACAACATAGCCGGGTTGTGAGAAGTTGATGGGGTGCGATCATGATCTAGTCCGGGAACCTTCTGGCACCTGTCTACTACATGTCAACTCACCACCTCTGACTAACCGTTCCTCCCTTGGTATGCCTGTGCTTCCCAGGGTATTTTTGATCGTGTAGGAAGGCACAAAAAGCCATTCTCTATTCACCCCGTACTAATATAGCGCTTAAATAGGAGAGAAACAATTGGAACGCAAATGCAAAAAGATGAAATTTCAAAACACGTCCTCCATTCACACAAGTACCTCTTGCTCCTAGCAGGCGGAATTTGAATAGGTTGCACTCTTTGCCTCTAATTCGTCATTCTCGGTAGTTCCCCATAGTCAGCCGTTATTCCCAGCAGATATACAGAGTCTCCAGCTAGCAAAAAAAACTAGTAGTCCAGTCATGTCACCTATGTAGTCCTACCAAATTGCCCACAGTCCGGCAAATCACCTAGTCAGGCCGTCTTTCATGCCAAAGACTGCAGTCCCCGAAAATGCGGGGCCATATACGGCCTAAAAGTTGGGCCGCTTCGCTATAGCTTACTTGGGGGTCTCTCCCGGGCATGCCGATTCGTCGTCACCGATCCATCGGAGTTTCCTTAGGGCTGCGGCAAGACGGCTAGGTTACGGGCACTTTTTATTGTGTACGGGTGGTGCGGCCCTAGAACCCTTTCATACCCCTCCAAGGCGCGGCGGTTCATTTGCTCCGATTCATGACGCCTTCCTTGATAACGTAGGGTTATAGCCAGGTTGCTGACACTTGTTAGGGTGTCGGGGTGGTCAGGTCCAAGAATATTCTCTCGTCCCTCAAGTGCTCGCCGATTTAGCATCTCTGATTCAGCGTACTTTCCTTGTTCTCCGAGCAACTGGGCAAGGTTGTTGACACTTGTTAGGGTATCGGGGTGATTTGGTCTAAGAATCTTCTCTTGTCCTTCAAGTGCCCGCCGATTCATCATCTCGGATTCATCGTAATTTCCTTGGTCTTGCAGCACTTGGGCTAGGTAATTGACGCTTTTTAGGGTGTTGGGGTGGTCTGGTCCAAGAATCCTCTCTCGCCCCTCAAGTGCATACCGATTCATCCTCTCCGATTCATCGTACTTTCCTTGGTCTCTCAGCGCCCGACCAAGGTTATTGGTACAAGTTAAGGTGCAGGGATGGTCCGGCCCAAAAATCTTTTCATACCCCTCAAGTGCAAACCGGTTCATCGCCTCCGATTCATCGTACTTTCCTTGGTCTCGCAGCACCTGACCAAGGTTATTGACACAGGTTAAGGTGCAGGGATGGCCCGGTCCAAAAATCTTCTCATGCCCCTCAAGTGCACGTCGATTCATCATCTCTGATTCACCATATTTTCCTTGGTCTCTTAGCGCCAGGGCAAGGTTGTTGATGCTGCTTAGGGTGTGGGGGTGGTCAGGTCCAAGAATCTTCTCTTGCCCTTCAAGTACCCGCCGATTCATCGTCTCTGATTCATCGTACTTTCCCTGTTCCACGAGCACCTGAGCAAGGCTGTTGATACTTGTTAGGGTGTCGGGGTGGTCTGGTCCAAGAATCTTTTCTCGCCCTTCAAGTGCCCGCCGATTCATTGTCTCTGATTCATCATACTTTCCCTGTTCCCCGAGCACCTGAGCAAGGTTGCTGACACTTGTCAGCGTGTAGGGATGGTCCGGTCCAAGAATCCTCTCACATCCCTGAAGTACACGCCGATCCACTATCTCTGATTCACGGTACTTTCCTTGGTCTCCCAGCACCTGAGCAAGGGTGCTAATACTTATTAGGGTGTCGGGGTGGTCTGGTCCAAGAATCTTCTTTCGCCCTCAAGTGCACGTCGATTCATCATCTCTGATTCACCATATTTCCCTTGGTCTCTTAGCGCCAGGGCAAGGTTGTTGATGCTACTTAGGGTGTAGGGGTGGTCAGGTCCAAGAATCTTCTCTCGCCCTCAAGGGCGCGCCGATTCATCCTCTCTGATTCATCGTACTTTCCTTGGTCTCCCAGCACCTGGGCAAGGTTGTTGACACTTGTTAGGGTGTCGGGGTGGTCTGGTCCAAGAATCTTCTCATACGCCTCAAGTGCGCGCCGATTCACCCTCCCTGATTGATCGAACTTTCCTTGGTCTCTTAGCACCTGAGCAAGGTTGTTGACACTTATCAGAGTATTGTGGTGGCCCGGTCCAAAAACCTTCTCATACCCCTCCAGTGCACGCTGATTCATTGCCTCTGATTCGCGGTACTTCCCTTGTCCTTGTAGAGCTAAAGATAGGTAGGTGATGGAATCCAGGACGTCAGGATCGGTTAGACCCCGGAGTTTATCAATACCATCTAGTAAATTCCGAAATATCTTTTCGGCGACACTAGTCATCCCTTGCTTTATATACGCCATCCCCCCAAACCTATATCTCCTTGGACCCTCGTCATCCGGGTGATACTTTTTACCCTGCTCTCGAAGTGCAATACATCGACGAAATTGTATTTCTGCACTGCTGTAGGAGCCAATATCTAGAAAATACCTCCCCATACGAAAACAAAGATCTTCGGCAATGGGGTCTCCTGAATCCTTTGTCACAACAAGTGCATGCGCAATGTACACAGGACCAATATATCGCCACTCGGTCTGATGTCGGGGGAACAATCGCGAAACCGCTCTTAGCGCAGCAGCCCTCGCTTCATCCAGTTCTTCCGCCGGTAAATAGGCCTGTAATGATAGCTGAACCAAGCGATGGAGTTCGTAAAATATTTTCTCCTGGCACTTGACCAGTGTAACTAATGAGAATCCTAAAAGCTTTCCGATGACCTGACGAAATTCAACCGAATCATTCATCTCTTCCAAGCCGCATTGGCTCAATAGCTCCTCTGGTATGTTTTGACGATCGAGGAATGCAATCAACCGCAGAAGACGTGCCGCTACGGGCATCTGTTGTGCGATGCGGTCGAAGGTCACAAAGTATGTGCTCAGGATACTTTCGGCCACATTCGACTCTCGGCGGATGTCGCAAAACTGCTGCGACAGCAGTTTCTTTGCTCGATCGTCGCTCTCCTGGAGAATAGCCCAATAAGCTGATGGCGGCGTCTTGGTCTCAATCATGAAGGCTGCCGCGCCTACAATAGCCAGCGGCAGGTGGTGCACTGATGCTAGGATCATTGCAATGGCCCGATTTTCTTCACCTTCCAAACCGTCCCTTCTACCGAAGCGTTTTGAAAACAATTCAAGTGCATCGTCCTCCCCCATTTTTCCAACCTCCATTGTTTTACAGCCCTGCCTAGATGCAACTACGCCAGATCTAGTCGTGAACATAACAGTCCCTTTAGTGCCTTGTGGGATAAACTTGGAGATGGGGCTACCGTTTCCGGCAAAGTCGTCGTCATTGTCAGCATTGTCAATAACCAGGATCCAGTCGCCACTATCCGAGCCTTCTAACCACTTCCTAATATTCAATAGGAATCCTTCTTGGTCCGTTGCAGCGCTGGCTAGAGGAATTCGGACATGGTCTGCAATACGCCTAAAGTCCTCGCAGAATTTTAAAAGCCCACTCCCATGCACCCAGAAAACATGCCAGCCGCTCTCGCTGATGCACCGATAAACGTATTCAAGCGCAATCTGAGTTTTTCTAAGCAACGTTAGTTTATCCTACATATGCAGAGATAATCGACACATACCCGGAGCCGCCTAACCCATATAGTGCGATCCTGTTGTGCGAAGCACTGTCGGTAACTCTCTTTAACGATTCGAGGAGATTTTTTCGGCCAACAAATGTGCTGTTCCTGCCGTAGGGAATCAAGCGATATGGCCCCGACGTTTGTTTCCGTTGGGACACTAGCACGTTAGTTCTTTGCCGGGAATGTCTCGGAAATACTGGTAATACCTCCATCTCCAACATCAAACGCGCTACACCTATTTTCAACTCCGAGATCGGCCATCTCTGGCAGCACGTACATGTTTCTGATAGTATTGTTACTACCGAAAACATTGTTGTTACCCCTATTCCCACTGCAGCTTCCGTAGATGTTGGATTGGGCTTCGGTAGCGCTATAAAGGCTGTTAGATGAGTGATACACAGGTTGGTTTTTTGAAAAAGAAGCATTAGAGGAAAGAGTGGCGTACTAATCCATCAGGTTTAATGGAATCTGTTAGAATGCGAACCCTTTCTTGCTAGCCGGGTGTGGTAACAATGTAGTAAGGTGCAGCTAGATTGTTGGGAGTTTTATACTTCTTGCACCTCTCGTAACGAGTTATAGCACGGGATATGCTCGACTGAGAGCCCAACCCTCGGTGCCAAGATGAATGATTCCCTGGATCCGAGTCTGCCCCGTCGTAGAACCCTAGCCAGTTGTGATCGACTCCCGTGAATAGTAAACTGTTGGTATCGTGTGTATGCTATCAGGATGCGGAAAGTAAGATATGTTAGCATTTAGAGAGCGGAAAAAAATATTCCTGCGCGACCGGGCGGATAAAAGGAGCGGGAAAAAGAAGGAAGGATAGGCGTAACGCACGGCACTAGCACTGTACCCCACTCGGTTGCCAGCCCCGTGCGAGTCCGGGGGAAGCAATTGGTTCGGGCCATCAGGAATTGAGCCGCAGAAAGTATAGTTCAGGTAATTGGGTAGCTGTTTACTGCACTACCGGTACCCGAGTATTGGATGCCACGGAATAAATGCGGCGCACGGGAAATGACTATCAACCGGACCTCCTGACAGCAGAGTACCGGCATTCCTTCTGCAAGTGCAACTTACATCTGCCGCTCGCAGTGCGTATAACGGAGCTATTTGGATGAGTTCCCTATCCTTCGATATTTTGGTGGTGTTGTGGCCGCTGTCTCTCTATTGTTAACCGATTCCCTTTGCCATCTCTTTAATCACATCGCCAAGTGAAAATAGACAGTTAACCGCACTCGAGCGAGTGCCTGTGAGTGGGTCTTGTATGTATTCTAAAATTGCTCATCATGTATATATCCTCTCCCGCGCTCGTGTGGTAAGTGAGACCTATGTCCAAGGCACTCAAAATACCCCACAGTATGTCCTGGATATCGGGTAGGATGGGCGTCCCCACCGCCATCCACCCTAGCATCTTGTCAAGTCAAAGTTCCCTCCCTTGGGTCTGGAAGCGTGCTAGCTGGACTATTGGGCACGCTAACGCGATGCAGAACTGCGATTAGCCCTTGCCACTTACCTCCTGTAACAGAAATAGTCGGCGGCCCTATGTCAGGACCGCTCTTGATTCGTTGGCATGCCAGTGATAGGACCTCCGGGCTTATAGTTTGTGTGATTTGCGCCATTGGAGCGATAGTCAAAATCACCAACCGCTTGCTATTTCCCGCAACTCGGAAAGCATGTTCTGTCATCCACTGACGCCGCCGCAGCAGGGTTGCGCACTCCACTACACGGATTGATCCCGGGCTAGTCATGAACGTCACCTAATACCGGTATTTGCAATGGAACTCCCTCAATTTCCCTTTGTGGCTCTAGTCTCCTGCGTGGCGGTGGCGTGTCCCTGCAGGGAGGGCATGGTATCGGGCTTATCTGCCTTCCGCATTACAAAGAATGTTCTCGACTAGCTTCAACTCCCCCTCGCAACGAGGAATTGGTGCCCAATGCCTATAACACTTTGAATTTATTGACTGTTATCTAATTTACCAGCCACATCGTACTGAGAAGCTTCCCCACTGCTTCTACGAGTATGATTGTCCTATGGATCTGGGGGCTTTAGCAAGGTTTGCTCCGAGTGGCTGCGGCCGGGGTAAATAAATTAGATTAGGTTTCCCCTGTAGGTTACTAGCGATTACTTGGTAACGGGGGTAGATGATATGGGAACAGTGGTGAGGTATTGAAGTAAAGGCGACAGGTCGTGGGAGAAGAAGTGCCGGAAGATAGGCATGGTAGGACGTTGGAACACAAGATTATGGCAACCTTTCGGAGCGCGCGAGAATGGTAAGGAGGCTTCCAGGAATTTGCACAAGTTTTCTTTGATTGGATTTCTTTGTCACTAACTCAACGGAAAATTATAACTTTGTCTCGGGGTAGGATGAGTACTGCACTCGTTTTCAGAGAATGCGCCCGTCAAGAATCATTTCTTTGTTCGGAGAATGCTAGGATCGTCCAACCCCTCGCTGACAAATATATCCGCAGGCAAGATGTTATAAACCTCCCCAGGTAAAGATCCATTGATGCCGGCCTCTAGTGGGGCCCTGGCTGTATCCTACTGTTAGAAGCTGCTCGCCATGGGTAAAAGCACTTGGTGTTCCAATGGGGCTATGAGGGACCGGGGTGATACTATGGGCTAGATTGCGTAGTTGGGGTTTGTCTGGTGTGTGGTGTTGCGTGTCTGGTTGGTGGGGTGTACTGGGAAAGGCAGTCCCATTCTCTTCTCGCTTACTGCTTTCTTTCGATGTCAATATTCTTTCCTCTTCTCTTAAGGATAATAACAATATTCTCTCGATCAACAAAACCTGAATTGCTCAAAGTCTAACACCTACCTTTCAGGAGAGCACCTTCACCTAACAAGCTGCAGCGTGTTTGGGTCTGGAGTTGATATTTCCGCCCTCCTCTAATAGTCGCTAAACTACTGCCCTCTAGCCAGGCCTAGTTTCGATCATTAAATGTCTAGGATCGCTAGGGAATGAATCATAGTGGCCTCTACTTCCCCAGTGCGCCCTCGGCCAATTGAGGAACCTGGTAGCCCCACATTGGGAAATCAGCTGTATACACATCGGTAACTCCATAATCCAATTCTCCAATTCTCAGAAGTGTCCTACTCAAATGTTGGCTGTAAAATCGAGGTGGCCGTAGCTCTGCACATGGTTACAGATCACCTCTCTTTTAGCACTTCGGACGGTGTCCATCGCCAACAGGTCGTTTTATAAATCTGCTAGTAGCGATAGCCAATTCAAGTCTCAGGCAATATAAAATTGAAATACCCGGGGGCGCACTGCTACTTACCTTAACCGGGCGATGCTTCTGTAACAGAAAAACCCGTGTCTCCTCAGTGAACGGGGTAGATCATCGGATTGGCATTCCGCGAAAAAGGAGCGAGCAGATTTCTTGTTATCTTTTCGGACCACTGGGGAGATGTGGAGTTATTGATTGCCCCGCCCTAACTGATTTCGAGGGCAGAATCCGTTCCCCCGGGAATGAGAATTATTATAGCTGGTACAGCCATATACAGGGTTCGTCAGATTCTGTCTTGGTGGTATGGTTCCGGAAGACAAGGCATGGGACCACTTTTCTCAAGAAAAGTGTGACCATTTTGGATGTGATTTTTCGCAATACCTTTAGTTAAGCTTGGCAGACTGTGTTAACAAAATTAAAACTGTTATTATCATCAATTAAAAGTATATTTTTCTAAAAGCTAAACGGAATAGGTAATGTAAGTTTAGATTAGTTAAGGTGAAGTTAAATTAGCAGGGAGAAAAACTGAGATATTATATCTTAGAAGTACGTACAAGTCCCAGGGATAATGTTTTCGCACAGTTAATTTAGGTTAACCCGCAGAATAATCCCTGTCTTGTACGAAAACATCTCCCCTGGCACTTGTATGTATCATAGGCCAGTATTATATCAAGTTAGCTAAGGTAGGGTGATAATAAATAAGATATTCTCATCAACATTCATTCTCCTTGATGACTAAAAAAAGTCATATTGAGTAACAATTCAGGCACTACGAGAAATGTCACACCCGGAACCGTCACACTTTTGGTGAGAAAAGCGGCCCCACATCTAGTCTTCTAGGACTATACTTGGTTGAGTGTCTTAGTGTCGGGCCATGCTGTATCATGGGGTGCAGGAGGGACAATGTTGGTAAACTGATCCTCATTACTCCCGAAAATCTTAAGAACTCCGGAAGGTAAAATAGGCCTCGGATTGCGGTGATTGGGGGCAGGTATTCCAGTGCACTAGGGTTCTCATAGATCAGTTGGAGGCCCCGTGTCTGATTACTTGAATGTATCATACAACAATAGAGAGAGTATCATACTGTGGTAGCTTAGCGGTGACTTCCTCCTGCCCCTGCGGTCCTATCGTCCTTGCCCTTGGTCTTCATTCGTACGAACAACGTGCAAATGGGTTCTGGAGTTGAATCAAGGTTTGTGACCCGGGGAGGTGGGTTAGATAACAGAGGAGCGGGGCTAGAGCCGCATACGAGACGCAGGGCTGATACAAGATTGAGAGCCACGAAACTTGAGGATGGCTGACTAAGTGCCAACAGAGGCCTCACCGGTACAGGTACCGATAGCCGCTGCTGCACTGCCATGCTAGTGCTAAGAATAGGTTCTAAAAAAGCATCAAGATCTCGTAATATCATTAGGTATCCTCACTCACTTATCTTCCTGATTGCCATCAAGACCTGTGATGACCCCCACCCCGCCTAGATTTTGTCCTAAAATCTGCATATTTTGTTCCCACTAAACTTTACTAGAATAGTATTATTTGTGGAAGCCCTATTCACGCGGTGGGGGCTGCCCTCTCGCCTTTCACTTTTGACTCAAGGAGTGTGGATTTGAGAGCCTATGTGGCCTGCAAGGAAGATTGTATTGGTGGTATCACGTCAAAGCATGCTGAATATCTTTGCCCAGAAGTTTTTTTAGCGTTCACTCACGCATCTCTGCGAAGGATAGTGCTTGGTGCTGTTATCCTCTGGCCGTGCCAAGATTGGATAACCTGCGAGCGGTTCCACCTTGGATTGCCCCCTATTTTCTAAATTCCAACATACCTGTATTTTTCTTATCCGTACCCTAATGCATATGCACCCGGTGCCAAAATTTTACTCTTCACGGGACTCGATCACAGTTAGATAGGATTCTACAACGCGACAGATTTGAACGTGGAGAATTATTCGTCTTGGTGTCGAGGGTTTGGCTCTTAGTGGGGCATACCGCGTGTCATAACTCGTTTCTGAAGGCTTACAAGAGGGATATAACTACGGATGAGCTATGGATCAGTAGGCCGCGCTTTCCTCTAATGCCTCTTTTTTCAGAAACGAGAATATCCCACCTAACAACCCTGTTAGCGTTATTCAAGTCCAATCCAGCATCCATGGAAGCTGCAGTGGGAATAGGGGTAACAGCAATGTTATTGGCAGTAATAACACTATCGGGAACATGTATGTGCTGCCGGGTATGGCCAATCCCGCAGTTGGAAATAGGTGTAGCTTGTTTGGCGTTGGAGACGGAGGTATTACCAGGTTTTCCGAGATATTTCCGGCAAAGAGTTAACCTGCTAGTATCCCAACCGGAACGAGCGTCGGGGCCATATCAGTTGATTCCCTACGGCAGGAACAGCACATTCACGGGTCGAAAAAGTCTTCTAGAATCGTTAAAGGGATTTACCGGGGGTTCTTCGCACTGCCGAATCGCACTGCATGGGCTAGGTGGCTCAGGGTATGTGTCGATTATTTCCCCATAGGAAGGATGAGCTGACGTTGCTTAGAAAAACTCAGATTGCGCTTGAATACGTTTATCGGTGCATCAGCGAGAGCGGTTGTCATGTTTTCTGGGTGCATGGAAGTGGGCTTTCAAAATTCAGTGAGGAATTTAGGCGTATTGCAGACCATGTCCCGATTCCTCTAGCCAGCGCTGCGACGGACCAAGAAGGATTCCTGTTAAATATTAGGAAGTGGTTAGAAGGCTCGAATAGTGGTGACTGGATTCTGGTTATCGACAATGCCGACAACGACGCCGACTTTGTTGGAAACACAAGCCCTATCGCCAAGTATATTCCGCAAGGCATGAAAGGGACAGTGATATTCACGACCAGGTCTAGGCAGGTAGCATCGCGGCAGGGCTGCAAAATAATCGATGTTGGAAGAATGGGAGAGGAAGATGCATTGGAATTGTTTTCAAAGCGCTTCGGCAGTAGGGGCGGTTTGGAGGCTGAGGAAAAAAAGGCCATAAGAGGGATTCTGGCCTCTGTGCACCACCTGCCGTTGGCAGTAATAGGCGCAGCAGCCTTCATGATCGAAACAAGGACACCACCATCCATGTACTGGACGATTCTCCAGAATAGCGATGAGCAAGCGAAGAGGCTGCTTTCGCAGCGGTTTTGCGACATCCAGCGTGAGGTTAATGTGACCGAAAGTATCCTCGGTACATACTTTGTCACGTTCAACCGGATCAGACAACAGATGCCCCCAGCGGCACAACTTCTGCGGCTAATTGCATTCTTGGATCGCCAAAGCATACCAGAAGAGCTATTGAGCCAACCCTACCTGGAAGCAATGGGTGATCTGGTTGAGTTTCGGCAGGCCATTGGGAGGCTTTTGGGGTTCTCATTAGTTACAATTATCAAATGTGAGGAGAAAGTATTTTACGAGCTTCATCGCCTTGTTCAACTATCTTTACAGGTGTATTTACCAGCGAAAGAGCTGAATCAAGGAAAGGCGGCTGCGCTAAGAGTGGTTTCGCGATTGTTCCCCCGATATCAGAACGAGTGGCGATGTGTCGGTCCCGTATACATTTCGCATGCACTCGCTGTAACAAGGGATTTAGGGGATCCCATTGCGGAAGAGCTTGGTTTTCGTATGGGAAGGTATTTTCTGGATATTGGTTCCTACAATAGTGCAGAAATACAATTTCGTCGATGTATTGCACTTCGAGAGGGGGGTAAAGAGTATGACTGGGATGGTGAGGGTCGAGGGAGGTATCGGTTCCTGGGGATGGCGTGTATATGCCAAGGAAAGGCCGATGTTGGCGAAAAGATATTTCGGAATTTACTAGAGGGTGTTGACAAGCCCTTCGGTCCAACCGACCCTGATGTTCTAGCTTCCATGGCCTGTCTGGCTGTAGCCCTACAAAGGCAAGGAAAGTACAGAGAATCAGAAACGATGAATCGGTGTGCACTGGAGGGGAGCGAGAAGATTCTTGGACCAGGACACCCCGACACCCTGACAAGTGTCAATAACCTTGCTGTGGTCCTTCAAGACCAAGGGAAGTACGACGAATCAGAGAGGATGGGTCGGCGTGCGCTTGAGGGTTATGAGAAGATTCTTGGACCGGACCATCCCTACACCCTAGCAAGTGCCAACGACCTTGCTCTAGTGCTGAAATTCCAAGGAAAGTACGACGAATCAGAGAGGATGGGTCGGCGCGCGTTTGAAGGGTATGAGAAGATTTTTGGACCGGACTATCCCCACACCCTAGCAAGTGTCGGCAACCTTGCTCTGGTTCTGAATTTGCAAGGAAAGTGCGATGAGTCAGAGAGGATGGGTTGGCGTGCGCTTGAGGGGTATGAGAAGGTTCTTGGACCAGACCACCCCCAGACTCTAACGAGTGTCAACAATGTTGCTCAGATGCTGAAATTCCGGGGAAAGTACGACAAATCAGAGACGATGAATCGGCGTGCGCTTGAGG